CTTCTTCTTTACTCTCCTGTTGTTTCTGTCTGTGTGGGTGGTTGGAATGGGGGGGAGGGCGGGCACTCGTAGATCCTTCTTCTTTACTCTCCTGCTGTGAAACATGTTGTTTCCGTCTGTTTGGAATGTTGCGAATACAACCGATGGGTCTTACTTAATACGGTCTAGGTCCTGCGCCTCTGCTCCAGCCAACTCTGTTGTTTCCTTATTGCTCTTGACGTTTCCAGGCCCAAAGTTGGTGCTTGTATCACAAAATGAACAATCCTTTTGAACATTTGGGATAAACCGCCCCGCTATTGTTGACTCTCATTGTGTCGATGTATTTCTGTTTACTCAAAACTAAACAACGTATTTCCCTTAATTTTACCTACATTCATGATTCTCTCGTCCTAAGGTTTCTTCAGTTAAATGTGTTTTGTGTAGCAATTAGAATATGTTCGTCAACCACGTCTCACCTCTTAGATATCAACAGATAGATCCCCGTCCCACCACTGACCACCAATTTCTTGCCTCTCACCTCTCACATTCTCCCTTCTCACTTCTCTCATTCTCACCTCTCACCTCTCACCTCTCCCCTTCTCCCCTCCAATCACCTCCACCTCTCCTCAGATCCACCCACGACTCACCACCAACCACCTGTGACCTCTCACCCTCTCACCTGTCATCTCTCACCCTCTCACCTCTCACCTATCACCTCTCACCTATCACCTCTCACCTCTCACCTCTCTACAGATCCACCCCAGTCCACCCGGCCAGCCATGTCACCTCTCACCCTCTCACCCTCTCACCTCTCACCATTCACCTCTCACCCTCTCACCTCTCCACAGATCCACCCCCGTCCACCCAACCAGCCCTGTGATATCTACTGGCACTATGACACCTTCTTTGACCAAACGGGCATCACTTCCGGTCAAGTGAACAGATTCCCTGGTCAGTTGTTTATTAATATATTTTATTTTGGCTTTGCTTTTTTCAAAATTTTGTCTTATATAGAGGGTGCGGTGGCGGAGCGGTTAGTGCGCTCGTCTCTGAAGCGGAAAGTCCTGGTTCGAGCCTCGGTTCGGACACGGATTTTTTTTTCGCTCCCTCCTGCCCACCCAGCAGTAATGGGTACCTGACTTCGAGTTGGGGAAGTAAAGACGGCGTGGAAAGGAACTGGCCACCCTACCACAATATGCCGAAGGCCAAGAAAGTTGTCTCACTAACAAGGCAATCCCCAATGTCCGGATCGGACGCAGGATTAGCTTTACTTTGGTCTAATGTATGTGTTTTAACAACCACATCGAGACTCACAATTTAGATAACTTGGGAGGCAGGATTTCTGACCCTGCCTATTGGGGTCAACCCGAGCTAAGAGGTATACAACATCCCAAAGTGGGTGGTTGGCGGGTGCTCCTGTGTGGTTTCAGTTTGCTTCTTCTTAAGATCTTTCCTAACAAACATGTGTCGTCCTGATCTCTCCTCCTTCTTTTTTGTGTTTTTTACTGTCTAGTAACACCTCCACCTCAAATCTTCGGCACTTATATGACCTTATTGTGTTGCAAGTGCCGTAAAACACCCATTTAAAACAACAACAACATCCCAGCAAAAAGATGGAGATACTCGGGTATGGAACTCAGGTCTCCTGCGTATGACACAACGCGTCTATCTGCTACACCACAGACGTTTGTTCTTTGGTCTGGGATTTTTATTTCATCACAATTTCCTTGCTACCAGTGTTTCGTTTTATTCGTGTGTCTGTCCGTTTTTGTATGTTTGGTTTTATGTGTATGTGTTTGTGCGTGTGTGTGTGCGCGCGCGTGTGTGTGTGTGTGTGTGTGTGTGTGAGAGAGAGAGAGAGAGAGAGAGAGAGAGAGAGAGAGAGAGAGAGAAAAGGTTGGCCTAGTTGACATTATAATGCTAGACCACGGAAGGAAGTCAGCGCGTCCTATTATAAAAATATTCCACGCGGGTTGTGTTGTCTTTTGGAAGAGCATGTTTTGTTTGTTTGTTTGTGTTTTGTTTATCATATTCAGGAGATTTATTGTGAAAGCTTTTAACATAATAAATCACGTCAAGAGCAAGCAGGGAGCAATGCGTTCTAGTGGGCTCTTTTTAGGTGTGTGTGTGTGTGTGTG